CCTGGAATTTTATTATGCCTGCATTTATTGAAACATTTTTCTAAAATGGGGGGAAAAAAGCAAAATTAGCGTGCAGATGGTTGTTGACCATTGTAGAAATGCTCCCACTCCAGTGAAGTGTCTCTATCTGATACCCAGAGAAACATTGGAAATCTCAGAGCAACACATCTGGGAGACAGGGGATATTTTTAAGCAATAAAGAGCTAAAAAACAGTAAGCTCTATTTTTTTTCCCCATTTTGCAACAACCAACTTACATCCTGCAGCTGTACTGTCATTGGTACTGTCCCACTTAGTGTGTGTGGGGTGGAATGCCTGGTCAGACTGGTAACCGAAGCACCATGAATGAGGTCCAGAGTTCTTTGTGGGGATGGGAGAAAAGTAACAAAAGAATAACTGTCCCTCTCTGCAGCCCTCAGAAGCCATCCCCTTTGGATAGGCACATTACATCCTGTTGTACTGTAGTGTGTCAAAAAGCACCTGAAAGACTCTTCAACCTCAATGCAGCAGTGGGAAGGGAGGCCACAATACAGGAAATATATGCACGCAACAGCTGTGATGGAAAATTGTATCTGAGTCATAAGGTCAGAATTAGGTTTTTATTATGGTTAGAATAAAATGTGCAAAACACCTGTATACTTAAACTTAACATAAACTCATTTACAGGTAATTAAGTCAACTTCAGAGTTCTTTCACATTTCATAATACTCCTTTTTAACTTTATCAATCAAAATCTTTATTGTCGTTATGAAGACATAACACTATATTAATGGTCTGTTTGATTGTCAGCAGGGCTGTTTGTGTGTATCTGAGAAGGGGTGGGTGGGGATGTTTGTGTGTGAGGGTAAGAGTATATATATGTTCTTGGGTGAGAGTGCATGTAGGAGAGTTCTCCTTCTGTAGGTGATGATGTGAGTTTGATTACTGGTCGGGCAACTGATCTGACAGCTCTGGGAAAAGCTGTTTTTGTTTTGTTGGGGTTTTTTTTTTTTTCTTCCTTTTTTTCTTTTTTTTTTTTTTTGTTCTAGACGTGATGCTGCTGAACCATTTTCCTTGACGGAAGTGGGGCAAACTGTGCATATCACAGATGAGTGGGATCTGTGCCAATGCGTCAGGCTCTTCTCTGGACTTGTCCAGATCTAGATGGCATCCCACAATCCCTTGTGTGTCCTGGTAAGCATGATGCTGCCACTATCATGTTTCATAATAGGGATGGTGTGTTTTAGTTCATTTGTGCATTTAGTTTAACACCAGCTACTATTAAAATGACTTCTGAAGGCAATTGGCAGCACAGATTTTCAGTTGAGTGTGTCAGAGTAAAGAGAGAGGAGTCTTTAAAAAAATGATAATTAATTAATTATTATTATTTAAAAAAGTAATAATTTAACAAGCCTTTTGCTCTTTACACCACTCCTATCTACTTTTTGTTTGAAATGTTTGGGACTTCCCTATAAATACATAATACCACCCATGGAAACTGTGTAATACACCAACATTTTCCAAATGCACAGGAGTTAAATATTTTAAAGATGCTAAAGTAACTTTTAAATTACAGCATTTTACAGATATATTTGTGTTATATTTTATTTGTTTAAGGGATTTGTCGTTATTTTTGTTCTGCAGCAATTTGACACTGACCATAAAAAATGTGAGAAAAAAAATGTGGGGCCTGTCAGGCATTAGAACTGTACACCCAGATATTCTAAATCCATTATTGTTTATCCCCTCTATATTAATTCATAAAAAATTAATTTCTTCATTCCAAGCATAGTTTTGTTATAGATAGTTCAGAATGAAATAGGCTTAATCCCAGATATTTTCTTCTACCATAGCATTCCTGTGCATGAAGCGCATATTAACCATCTATTTCAAAATGTTAAAATAAAGTTGCTCTTTTTTAAGTGTATGCAGACGAATCTTCATAGTTTGAAGCATATGCCAACATTAACAGTTAAATGCTTCACAGTGTTTGTGTTAGAGCACTGGTTGCTAACCTTCTCTGAGTGTTCCAGACCCTTTGGCCAAACTTAGCCCCCATCTTCAATCTGTATTAAAACACTGCAAGTGTTGGTTGGTGGCTGGTGTGTTCAACAGGAAGAGGGCTCCCTAATCAAATTCTGCTTTAGGGCTCATACATAACTGGACCAGATCTTGAGCATAGTGCATGAGCCAAAGTCAGGTCTAAAAAGCTACACCCAGATAATTGATCAACAAAGGAAAACCCTGATTAATACATGCTATAGACATGTAGTGACATTCACATTTCCTTACAAACGTGTGTTGCTGGTTCGTGTTGTGTTAATCTGGTTCAAGTGTCATCTCAGCCTTCTTTAAGGAATGAGGGTGGCTCTGTTCTCTTCTTTGTTTTTATCTGTTAGGAGAGGTTGTGCCTCACTCTATGCTCAAAACTGCAGCCCAAAAACAAACAAGCTGATTGGTTATGAGAGTGAGCTTAAGAATCAAGTACATATAACTAAGACAATAAATTATATAGTTAGTTTTTAAAACTAAATAGAAGAGAACTAAAACATTGCACTTTTAGATTTTTTTTTCCAGACTAAAACCTGATCAACAGCATCCTATTTTTGGCAGTGATAAGATGGCCTTGCTTTTTTTGTTGCTGGTTCAGAAACTTGATAGACTGGTTTAGCCACCCCATTAGCAAAAAAATGTGGAAAAGCAAACACTTACTGGTTTGCTCCGCCCCTCACTCAAACTTTGTCACAATGTGTTTAAAGGCAGAGAGCTTCATGCACAGCAGGACTGTATGAAAAGGAATGGAGGCCAGAACTCCAATCACGAAGGAAAGTTTATAATACTGAGTACTGTAGTAAATTAAGAGGTTATATTTTGTTTGTTTTTTATTTCCAACACATGACAAGTAATCATGGATTGTTTATGGTACATTGAGTCAAAGACACAAATTTAGGCAACACGGTGTGACTGAATATAATAACGAATTTAAAAGAATTTAGCAAACCATCAGGTTCTAATGATTTTGGAAAAATAGCTTATTAGACATTAGGTGTCAATGATAGTCAATGATATTAGACTGTCAAAAATCAAACATTAGATCTCACTACAATCTGTATCTCAACTAACTTCTGGAATATAAACAATTAATTATTGGGTGTAATACTAATTACTTCAGTGGAGGAAAAAGCACCGGGACTTCTTGAATTCTACGTCTGCTTGTGTAGTTTTTTTTTTAATTATTATTATTTTTAATTTAATTTTTTGGTTTGTTTTATATGATTGAGAGAAAATATTTTCT